CGTATGAGCATTTGACTCTCACCCTCTGACCCTCTGTGGGTCAAGAAAGAACTTGTTCTCCGGGGGCGGAGGCTGTGCACGTGCACGGTGTGAACACTTTCGGGGGTCGGAGGATGTGCATGGTGTGAATACTCTAGGGGGACGGAGGCTGTGCACGGTGTGAACACTCTCGGGGGGCGGAGGCTGTGCATGTACAGGATTTGGACATGAGGAAGTACAGAGCGTTACATATGGTGCTGTTGTTAAGCCACTAAGTCCCACAGGACCTGCCTCCTTCTGCCACGGGGAATGGAGAGTGGAGGTGAGAATGACTCGAAGGATGAGGCTACAACAGATTAAGGAAACTGAGATTCCTGGCTCCACACAGCCCCTCACTTCTTCAGGAACAACATGACAGCATACTTTGATTTGAAAACATTATACATCTCAAATGTAATTAAGAAATCCCGACTGGCGTGAAGATGTAATATACACTCTGTTTTTGCAGATGCCTTTTTGCCCGACAGGCTGGTGCCGACTTTCATTTGGAAGAAATCCATTTTCATACAAAGGTAACCAAGAGTGACAGGAAAGAGGAAGCCTCCATCATTTATGTTCTGTGAACTTGGAACAGAATCAGTTAATTGCTTTTCTGGGAAGCTATTTTGTAGAATCTGGCATTTCATTTTTCTACTCTTACTTGTGATATATAAATGGTGATTTTCAGAAAAAGCTGGTCATGAAAATGCTATGTTTAATCAATACATCTTAAACTATTTCAGTGCACATTTTAACAAAGAAAATCTGATCAGCCAAACATTTATTCTTGTAGATGAACAGCCAATCACAACTAAGGCTCAGAACACAGTCTGTCAACTGACACTCAGACCTCTTTCCAGACCAACAAAGCTATGGGTGACAGGGCTGGCTTTGTCCTGTGTATTACATATACATTACACGTTACATATGTGAATATATATTACATATTCACACATTGGATTTCATGTATGTTCCCATCCCAGTCATCAGAGGTCTGTGCAGGATATTCAAGTCACTGCCCTTGACTAAAGGAGCAGGAAGAGGTAGAGGTTTTAGAACACTACTGCAGGTACTGAAAACTTCAGAAAGGTGGTCTGCACAGTCTGTGGGGACACCTACCAAGTGGGGCCTGTGTTAATACTCGTTCTTCAGATTCTTCAACCTACAGGCAAGCACAGTCCACCGTTCCGAGGCTCCACAGTGCATCTGCCTACCCCTACCCCCAGTGCGTACACAGGTACTAAATTTGAGTCTGAAATGGAGTACTTTCCCAAATGAAAAGTTGTTATTTGATAAAATTCCTACATTACCCCATTGAGTCAGAGACTGGAAGACCTTAAAACTAGGCGCACTTAGGTTTCCCCATACCCAGTGCCCAGGAAGGGCCTTGATGATATATTTATATAGTTACAGGTTTTATAAAGACTGCAAATTCAACACAAGCTATATCTGCACTTCTGCCTTAATAGTCCCCAAAAGCTAACCCTGGAATAATGTTAACAGGCAATTGTGTGTGTGTGTGTGTACAAAAATAACTCACTTCAACTGGAAAATCTTTGCCCTGTGATGTTCTAGAATGCTTCAGCCATTCCCTAAGGCCCTGCCTCTCGCCTAACAGCAGACACCTCCCAGCAGGCACTCTAGGGGAGGCTTTCTTAATGAGGGGTGTCAAGAGTAGGAGGCTCAGCTACAACAACAAAATATGTTTTTCATTAAACCCCAAAGCGAGCTAGGGTGAAGCAGCTGAGAGGCAGGCGGACTGGTTAAGGATTCTCCTGAGGCCTGGAACTTCCGCATCAAACCGAGCTACATTTTTCTACACTAATCACCCATTGCTGAAGAGTAAAGAATTACAACAAATAACCCTCTGTGGAAGTCATGTTAAAGGAAACAGCAAAGACTTGACGAAAGAGAGTCAGTTTCTCCACGTCAAAACAAGTAACGAGCCTTGTTCCACTACAAGGATGGCAAAGGGGAAAGACAGGGCTTGGGACCGGGAGGCCACCTTGAAGGTTAGTTTTGACTGTGGGATAAACTGCAAATTAAAAGCTAAGTGCCCAATTTACTCCACTCAGAAGGACAGATATCCTGAAGGCAGAGATCACACCGTGGATGTTAGTCTCTCAAGTTTCACGGCAGCCAGCCACCAGCTGACTCTCTTGGGTGTGTTCCTACACAATGCCAAACAGCTCTTTGCATGTCGTGCACACTTACACACTCTAATGTCAGTCACCCCTAACGCTTCTTTCAGACTCTGGATGCCTCACAATGTGCTAAGTCTTGTTCTACAGCTAACAAACTCAAGTAGTTGAGGAACACAAGTTATCTCCTGGTCACTTTCTATTCATTTCCTAGAAAACACTTTCCCTGTCTTACTAGAAATAAGTGCTACTAACAGTGCATTATTTTTTTAAGGTACACACACACACACACATACACACACACACATACACACACACGAAGTTTTTAATTACCTGCTATGTCAGATTGTTATTTACTCCAAAAAATAAAAGTATAAAAGCCTATAGTCTTTCAAAATTAAAAATGTAGCTGATAAATTCAGTTTTATGTTGTTGTTGTGGATTTTATTCGAATGGTCTAAAACTACTGACTTATTGTACCAACCTCCCAAAGGGCGTTTATTAACCTCTTGGAATATAGGTTTAAAATGTCTTGTAGTCTGAAGGGCAAGAAAATTGACACGCAGACACTATTTTGAATGAATCCATTTCTTACTGTGGCGGCGGACTTCATAAGCAGACGCGTTTTAAGAATCAAGTTATGTATTTCCTAACATGCAAAGCTTTTAGCTGACGTAAGGACTGAATCCCCTCCGTCTTAAACAACACTCCAGGTTGTGCCTTCTCTATAAACGTACTCCTGGCCTCTGCTGCACACTCAGGACAGAATGTGAGGGGGCAGCAGACAGTTCCCAGTGCTGTGCGTGGGAGTGACGATACGTTTTTCCCGCGTCACTCTGAGGTCTCACAGCATGTGTCCCTCTCAGGCACGACCCTTTTGCTGTAAAATCGCCAAGCCAGTACAGTACACACTGCCCCCAATCTAGGACGCTCAGAATGCATCAGGACAATGCCCAGACAACTGACAGCCCATCGAGCACCTCCTTCATCCTGCACTGGGTACGGAAAACACACCTCAGTGCTCTGAACCAGAACGAACTACACCTCCCTGGACTCTAAGTGAGGAAATAGTTACCTGAGACACTGAGGTGGCTGCGGTGCACCACCTTAACAAGGAATCAACTGAAAGGAAAACTCCCAGGAACCCTGTTGGTGACATAAGTTGGCACCACTGTTCAAGGACAAGCTAGACTTCCTTTGCCAACAGAGATCATTTTTGATGCAAATGACAAAAACTACAGAGGATGAGGAATGCAGTTTGACATGGTGGTACCGGTGTGTTTTCTACAAACTTTTTCAAATGCACGCCCAGGGCTAGAGAGTTGGCTTAGCTGCTGAGAACAGGTGTTGCTATCCTAAAGTCTGATTCTCAACATCCATGTCAGGGGGCTGTAGCCACCTATAAGCCCAGGCCCCAGGTATCCAACACCTCTCATCTCCATGGGCACGCATACACACATACACACACAAACACACACATACACACAATTTAAGAAATAAAAATGAATTTTTAAAACATGCTTGGGAAAATTACATTTTGCTTTCATCATTCCTAATGATTCCTGCTTCCTAATTGTGAAAATACATCATGAATGTGTAATCAAAAGAAGCTACTGATGCGCACACCGTCATGTTTCCTAATTAAAACCTTAGTCAACACCTCCTGGAGTGCAGACAGTCTCCAAAGGTAACAAGGCTATCTCCCAAATGGTCCATGGGGAGCTCTGAAGTGATAGCACAGAAAACGCTACACTCAGCCTTGTCATAAACACAACAGGAAACGTCAAATCCTTTGTTTCCTTTGGTTATTAAATTGAATTAAGATGCAAAGAACACTCTGATCACATCATTATTCCATCTTTAAAGAAGAGCGTGTCAAAGGGAAAAACGACCTAGCGGCTCCTAAGAGTGGAGTTAGAGAAGGGCTATTTCAGCCTCCACGCTGTATCAGAGGGAGACAACAAAGCAAGCACGCACACTCGTAATTCCTCTCCGTGTGCTCTCGGCAGCTAGCATCAATTTGGAAGATGGTATGAGACATGCTGCTTTAAAAAGATTGTCTTCCATCCAGACTCAAGCAGCCAGTCACTGCGTTTCCTACGACCTGTCGAGTGACAGGCTTGTTTAGAATCCTCACACTCAGCGCAGCCGCTCCACACACTTCGAGATGAACAAATGTGGTAGGACAAAATCAAAATGCAAACCAGGAAGAGTACGAGCTGAAACACTTCACTCTGAGAATATGTTCATAGAGCCTAACAGGAAAGCCCAAGGAAGAATCCTGTTTGCTATGACCAGCTCTGAGCCCCGAGACTTAAAAGGTGGGTGTGATGTCTAATATAGTGGAATACCAGCCAGATTCAACACCGATTCAGTACTTTACGAGCTCCTACTTACTCACTACACAAATTCAAACTCCTTTAAGAAGTTTATCGTAAAATTTTTCAAAATTGATAAAAATGTCAAGAGTTCTGAACTATTTTTCTAGAAAAATTCTGCCTCCTTGGAAGCTGAATTGCAGCCTTTGAAGTAGCTTATACTGCTGTTATATATCTCAGCCAATACCATCTTGTTCATGAAAACTCCCATGAACTCAATGGAAGGAGGCAGTCCATCCCTAGGTAATTCCTACACATGCGCGCGCACACACACACAAATACGTTCTCGGTATATAAGACAATCCTGTTATAACAACGTTGAAATTTTTAAAAATTGTAGCTTGCTTGCGTGCCACGACTCTCGCCACACCACCGGGGAGCTGGCAGGGGTGGAAACATAAAGACGGCATTTTCAAGTCAGGCTGCCCCCGAGCGGTCCGTTACTGGCCTGAGATGGACTCACCTCTCCTTGCTTGGGGATGCTGAACTTGGCAAGCTTGGCCTTGGCCCTGGCCGACTCTGGCTTACTGGCTGGGACCCCTCTGTAGGATGTGCAGTGCAAACCAGTTTCTGTGGACGACTTAAGCTTGGGAGATTCATCAGGCGCCTGGTCTTGGCCATCCATCGGCCGCACGTAGGCGGTGGGTTTCTGCTGGACCAGGCTGGGTTTTGAAGCCAGGGACGGAGGAAAGCTCTGAACACAGTGTCCGCTGCTGCCGTGCTTGGCTGCCATGGCAGGTGGCCTCTCCTGGGTCTGAAGACCTGCCTCCAGGTTGCACACTTGCTTGGCCCTTGTCTGCTGTCTGCCGACCCCGTCTCCAAGCAAGGTCCTGAGAGAGCCCTGTTGTGCTGAGTGGGAAGAAGAAGGTAGTGAGGGGGAGGGGGAGGATGAGGGCCCCCCCCCCATACAGTGCACAGGCTTTTCACTGTGGTTCTGGGAGAATGGTGCAAACCAACTGCCTTAAGCCCCTCCTTACCTGCTCTCGGCTGGCCATCTGACGGTGGGTGGCCAGCCTTCTGCCAGCCCACAGCGCCCCTCTTGCCCTGCGGCACAGGGCCTCCTGCGGGTGTGGAAGGCGTGGTGCTACAGACCGACGAGGGCTGGGGCTGGGCTCTTGAGTCTGGCACAAAGTGCTCATCTATCTTGTTATTCACGGGAGTCTGCGGCACACCCGGCTTGGGCACGCCAACGAGGTGACTCTGGTTGGATCTATCGGTTAAAAAGTCTTTCATTTCGTCGTAATTTCCTAACGTGTTCTGGATCCGGTTGGAGAGCTCATCCCCCTTGTTAGTCTGGAGAAAGAAAAAAACAGGCATGCTACTGTTAGCGGCAAGACGGGAAACGGTGGGCAGGTGCCTGTGGGGTTGGTCGCAGGGCCCAGGCTGATACGCTCAGATGAGAACTGAGAGACAGAAGTGAAGTCCTTATGGCTTCTGCTTGCCTCTGCGCTGCTCAAGAACTGGAAGTTTGTGACGGAGAGCTTTAGGGTGTATTAAACAGAAAGCTGTCCTTGGTGTACTGTGCTGCAGCCAAACGTATTTATTATTTATTTATACATATGTTTATCTTATATGTATATGTAAGCTGGAAATCAGAAAATTTACTCTTACAATGTCACAACACGGTTTTTGGTTAAGTCTTTGTAGGATTAGTTTACTGTCATTCTGAAGAACGACTGAAAACGTCCCTTGAAGATTTAGATCTGGCTCAGAGTAGGTTTGCCTCCAGATTCTAAACGAGGAGCTATTCCCGCCAGAAACGCATCTTGTGAGGCGAGTGGGAGCAGAGCGAACTGAGAAGTGACAGGAGACCAAACGTGTGTACTTCTCTAAACACGTGACATGTGTCCACGTCACATGGATGCTGAAACATGAGTGCGCTCTTGGAAAACACCTCACTTTGGGATAGATGGGGGCCTGTGTTGTTGATGAAAACCACATCAGGCGTGTCTCAGCAGCTGGTCTTTGCTTTCAATGAAAAGTGATTTTACAACTTCTTTTTTTACAAGTATTTTATGGAGTGTGTGTGTGTGTGTGTGTGTGTGTGTGTGTGTGTGTGTGTGTTAAGGGGAGTGGGGGAAGAGAAAGGGAGGGGAGACAACTTGAAAAATTTGCTTCTCTTCTTCCACCATTTGGATTTAAGGAATCAACTCAGGTCTTCGGCCTCAGTAGCCGGTCCCTCCCCCACTGAGCCATCCCAACAACCCCAATTTCATTAGCCCTAACAGGTGCCTTGCTTGATCCTAGCATGCTCCACACACATCACATATACAACCTAAGCTCTTTTGAATAGTGCTTAAGAGCTCAAAAAATGTTACAGATACCATTAACTTTAAAACCAAGGAGATGACATCTGAACTGTTCTTCAAAGTCATAGCAACTAGGTCTCAGTGTCATTTCACTGATGAGCTGTGTGAGCTAGACACCAAAATTTAGGGGTGTGAAGCCCACGACACATGACATCACAGCAGCAGGGCTACCTTCCCAGTCTAAACAGACCTAAAATGAGGCAGAGTTTCCTGTCGGCTCCTTCCCGGGACAGTCCCAGCGGCTAAGAAGGAAGGTGACCAACTGAAAGCCATCATCTACCTTGTAAGGTTCACTGAAGAGGGAGTAACTGGAACTAAAGCTGCCACCGTCCTGCTGCGTTTCCTGACTTCTTCTTTCTCGTTCTTTCCTCCGTAACGCATTCCTGTCTGGTTCATAGACGCTGCACCAGGAGAAGAGAGAGAACAACCCCAAGCATTAAAAGGCCACGCCCAAAGTAGGGTACATCTGAAGGCAGACACCTGCTTAGACGGACAAACGGCAAGGACAAGAACAGCGATGAGACTAAAGCCAGGCCAATTGAGTCCCATGTCTGAGAGTCACTCCTCCGGAGGGAAAATCCTCAGGACAAGTTCCAACCAGAACCAGACCCCTGCCTGAGGTGTCAGGGAGAAACTGTGTAAGCAACTTCGACAGAGACCGGGGGAGGGGGAGGCCCTCCCCACTTGGGCCCGCAGTAATTACCTCGTTGTGTAAATAGAAATTATGAGCCTACTTCCTCAAGTGACAGTGCCTCTGAGTGTTATATGGGATTGCTCCTGGTTGGGATCTTTTTTGTGTGTGGTATGTCTGTGTTTCTGTAGATTCCATCATTAACTAGCTCCCCAAAGAGCTGTTAAAACTCCATGCTGCAGTGGGTTTCACAGTTATGAGCCTCCTCCTGATCTCTGTTAATCAGTCAAGTCGTCAGATGACTAGTGAATCAATTCCTCCTTCTGATATATTTGACACCATCACTCCTCCTAACCATAAAAAAATGTGACAGGAGGAAGGGGAGCAGGCAGCAAAGGGAAAGAAAGGATGGAGACTGAATTACATCAATGGCATCAGGAACTCAGCCTCTGGTTGAAGAAAATTATTATCTTTTCACCCAAAAACCAGACGCCAAACAACCAGAAGTGTGAAGGAAAAAATGGAGCGTGCCATTCCCCTCATAAGACAAAAATAAAAAGGCTAATTCAACCAGTGATAAGAAAGTGACTCTGTTAGTGCTGAGAGGAAAAGCCCCAGTCTTTCTGGGCCCACTGGCCCAGGGTAGACACACAGCTACCCATCGGAAAAGCACACATCCTGAAAAGCTGGCCCTGCCCTCCTTTCCTAGCAGAAGCAAACAATGACAGCAACCTAGTCGCCATTTTGTTTAGCATGTCTGCTTGGTCTAGGGAGCAGAGGGCTGAGCTAGGAGCCAAGACAGCTACCTATTAACTAAAGTTCTCCCAGACCCAGAGAGGAGTTGACAAAAAGCCCCTCAAGCTCTTCACCCCTGTGTGTTCGTCCTGAGGTAGGGATGTCTCGGGGTAGTGCGGTGAGGTCAAAACAAGAGGGCGCAATGCTCGCTAAGTCAAGACCAAGTCCAGGGTAATGATATTAAAATGTGGTTACAAATCAAAGGATCTGTGGGTTCAAAACAACTTTGTGAAAACAGTAATTGGTCAAATAGCTCCCTGTAGAATTTGTGTCATGTGGCCATGGGAGGCACAAACCCCACAGTGATTACAAAGTACTCCTCATCCCTGTTCAGCCTGTGCGGCCAGGACAGAGCTTTAAAGTCAGTGTCTGTACAGCGACTCTATACACACTTCTGGCAAGGCTGCTCCTGCCCCTGAGGCATTTAATTTAAATTTAAAATTAGGGAATGCTAAAATATACAGAGCAAGGAGGCCATTAGCATTTTAATTCATCCTTAGTACATTACCCAAAGTTATTAGGTCTGGGAGCCTAACCAGTGTTCTTACGTTTAAAAAAAAAAAAAAAAATCTACCAACAGGGAGGCTCATCCTTCCAACATCACAGTTTCTGAGCAAGGCTGAGGTGACAGGGCGTGGGGACACCCTACATGCTCATTCACAGAAGCAGCCTCCAGGTCCAAGGAAGAGGCCCTGACTGCCCTATGCTGCTGGTGGGAGCTTGTCCTTCGGAGCCCTGGCTTCTGCAAACACTCCGTGGCTTTCACACGTCAGGGGACGGAGGACACATGATGGATGAGACAGAGGCATGGAGTGGGCTTCCAACAGCAGGAGGACTCTGCGTTATCAGCCTCTAGCTTTTAGATGAACTTCTCCCGGCATGTGGAGGAAAGGGAGGTCCTCGCGTCGCATGCCCCTGGCTCCCCTCCGGCACCGAGGGCGCCAGCCTTCCAACAGAGACCTCCACACATGCCATGCAGGCCACCCGCAGCCAGGCCAAGCCAACCGCACACAGGACTGGGGTGATGAATGCAGTGGCCTTATGCACAATGAGCAGGCAGGCTTCTGAGGAGGTCCCCCCCAAAATTATACCTCCTGCATCTGCTGGCTGATGACTGAAATTCCAGAACTAGAGAATCAGTCCTCTGGCTTAAGATGTCTTCACCCCTGTAAGAAATACAAACACCACAAGAAGAAAATGCTTTAAACCTCACAAGCCTGCATTTAGTATCTCATATGGACAGGTTTGCCGGCATTTCCCACAAAGGCCTAAGGGGCACTGAGCAAGGACACAAGAATCCAGATGGGAGGTGGGGGGAATCAAAGGGCAGGGTTAAGGGTCGAGGGAAAAATAGTTTATTCTGCAACATGGGTCACCACAGTCAGATCAGTGGGGTTCACACCCAGTGTGTTTCCAGAGCTTTGGAAAAGGAGTCAGGTCAGAACTCCGGAAAGCTAATGTTGAGGGCGAGGCTGTTCCTATTTAAATGAACCCCTCTTTCCCAGCCTCCTTGGGTCTGAAGACCTAAAACTCCCAAAACATAAAAGTTTCCTGTGGGCTTCCACCTGCATGACTAGACTATGGCTCCAGGCAGTAAGGATCGAACACCCTCCAGACAGAAGAAATGTCCCTTCCGTCAGTTCACGGGGCCGCCGCAAAGACTGCATAATGCATCTACGCCATCAGAGAAAGCCAGGCAAGGCCCTGCGTCCTCTACATCCTCTCTTCAGCCTCTCTGCCTCACAGGCAACTCTGTAGCCTCCATTGAGCAGATGCTTTTCCAAAGGTATGCCCTACCCCCACCCCAAGTCTTCATTCAGGAATGAGGAGCTGCGGTATCACCTGCTCACAGCAAATGCCACTCTTAAGAGAAAGGCGGGACCTCGACACCAATGCTCAGTGCTTTTGCTCACACAGACAGAAGCTGCTGGGCCAGTGCTCCTCTGTACTGCCCACAGGGAGAACCAGCGCAGTACCCTCACGCCTCACTCCCTTGCTCCTGGAGCAATGAGAAGGCTGTGCCATTTGCTTAGCAGCAATGGAGCCTTTCCCCTGCAGATGGAAAGCGGGGTCAGCTTCCTGGGGATGCGAGGCTGGCTTTAGGTAATCTTCATTCCCGCAGGCTGCTGTACCTGCTAAGCTCGGTAAATGCCATGCTGTTTCTTCCATGTGAACAGATGGTAAAGTCTCTATCAACTGTTAGGTTTTTCCTTATTTCCATAGAAATTACAAGAACCATATTCCTCAAATGTATATCACCAAATGCATTTATTTATTTTGCACAGAAGTGTGGCAGTCAACTGCCATAATGTTACTTATTATTTATTACAAATGCATAACAATCCCAGAAAAAGGAAATCTTTCAAATCAACTCCTTGTAGAAGACTTATTTTTAGGTTTTTTTTTAAAGCATGTAGAAAATATAATAAAAAATATTTCTGATTATTCTTCATTTACTTGATTTTTATTTCTCTTGCAGCTAGTTATGGTACAGGCTGAGGCTAGTTATGGAACACAAGTAAGAGGAGACACCCAGACAAGACCGTCTCCAGAACTGATCTGTCCTTAACTGCAAGGCAACGACAGGAACCTGAGTAACATGACGTCTCCCTTTGCTGAGAGAAAACAAACACCCAAACAGTCATCCATAAGGCCACCAAGTGTCCTTACAGTGTCTTAGACAAAGATAGGGGTGGCTGACATTATTACTAGGTTGGCTTTTCAGAATCAAGGCCTCTCTATCATGGTCACCCACGTCCATAACCTCAGTCTTGGAAGACAGGGCCAAGAGGAGGTGAGACCTGCCTCAAACAAATAAAACAGAATAAAGTTAGGAGTTTAGGATGGTTGGAGTTAGACCATCCTTGATTCTTTCAAAAGGGCAAGAGAAACGGCAAAGTCCAAAGTACTTTATTCATCTCTCCTGAGAGAGGAGAAGCTGCCCACAAACCAAAACCACGTCCATAAGCTGGGGATGAACGAGCAGCAAGGACAAAAACAGAGCAGAAAAAAAGAGAGAAGCTACTTCCCATACCAGAAAACGAAGAAAAGTATGTTAGCAGTTCTAAGTTTTTACAGTTTCTGAACAACAAAAATGACTACCTTTTTCTACCCCCTCCCCACCACACACACAAAGGATCATTACCCCACGACCTAGGAACCGAAGCACAGAGAAATAATAAAATTACACACTGTGAACATTGCCAATTAGGGCTGATGGCGTCGCCAGTGCCATCAAGTGCTGCCCATTCATCAGCCTGCTACAGGCTTTTCCACACTACCCTCCCTGGAAGAAAGGGTTCTAATGAGCACAGCCAACCCACCAGCCGAGGCCAGTACTTGACCCAGGAGATTCCGCTGGCCAGGAAGAGCTGCCTCCTACCCTGACGAACTCAACTGTGTGCAGCCCACCCACATCAGAGTGCTCATTCCAAACAGACTGTCATTCCCCGTGGAGGAGGCTGGCAGCGAAGGGTGCATGAAGCCAACTCCAGCCCTTGACTGGAATCATGTTTTGCTCTTTATAAGAAAATCATCCTAACTTCTGGTATGTCTCGGATTAGGGGCTCAGCAGGCATCATTTTCTGTTGTTATAACAAAATACCCGAGGCAATGTACCTTATAAAGAAATGTGCTTCATTTACTTTGGGAGGCTGCAAGTCCAAGGCCGGGTGGTCCCATCTATTTAATAAGCAGTGATGGCCTTCTGGCTACAGTTTGGCACAGCAGATGGCATCTGCAGGGGTGCACACGAGAGAGAAAGCCCAAGGCTTCCCCACCCACGCTCGCTTTAGCAGCACCTCACTCCTGGACCCAGACAGAGTCTAAGGTGGTATGACATGCCCTTTCTAATACAGAACACCTTGACTAGACACCCACCTTTTCAAAAGTTCCAGCCCCTCAATACAACCACACCAGAGATGAGGCTTCCAGCATGGGGGACACTGGCAATTTCCTCGTGCCCTCTCCACATCATGGCAAGGGCTAGGGAAGAGCAGAGATGAGAGGGACCATTTCCCGTCCCTCAGAGAGTGTTCATCTGCTAACCATGCCTTTGAAGGCTACCTTTCAAAATAGCAGAAATATGGCCTAGTCCAAAACCAGCTCCTCGATCCCAGGCATGGGGCTATGACCGATCCCTCCTCACAGAATGAGGAAAGAACAGAGAAGGTGGTCCCTCACAAGCAACGTGGGCACCAGGTATGCAGATAAGCTCTGCACTGGGCTGGCAGAAGGAGCACCAGAACCACCAAGTGGTACACAGCCCGCAGCTGAGAGGCTTTGGAGAGTCTGGGCAGGTGACCTGTGTCCTGGGCAGGCAACCCGGCTTCCTCAGCTAGAGCTCTATGTTCAGGACATCATGCCCTTCGTCTGCCCACTGTCAGCCTGCTGTGACTACTTCCTCCTTCAGAGTATGTCTGCCTGGTCCCTCCCCAGAAGCAGAGGGTAAAACACAGGGGCACTCTCCACCAAAGATGGCTGAGCCGCCCACCACAGCAAGCATTTTCAGATGCTTCTGAGTACTTGGCCAGGATGCTGGTGGGCACACAGACAAGGAGAGGGCGAACAGGGAAGAAAGGCAACGGGTGAGGAAAGGGAAGACTGCGCCATGCCTCAGAGACTCAGCAGCTCCCAGCTGGCATGTGACACTGTGTATAATTTAAGGACTCTAATCAAACACTCCAAACGTATAACAATTGTTCTACATTTAATGAGTCAAACTAATCACCATCTTTTGTTATTTATAAAGTAAACAATAAAAGATCTGTGTAATCTGGTCTCAAAAGACAGGAAAGCAAGACTGTGGAAATGTTCCGTGTGAAGCCCCTCGGTCTGAAGACTTGGTGGACAGAAAGGCCTCGGGGTTTACTCGGGTGACAGAAGCAGTTCAGAGATGGGACGGGGCGCCTGTCTGGCAGAAAGACAAAGCCTCCGAGCTGCAGCCCTTAAGGTGCTGGGTTGAGCCAATGGGGGATGGTAAGGCTCCGGTGAAGGTGGAGGGAGCAGTAAGGCGACTCTGGTGAGGGTGCTGAGGGGTGGTGACGGTCACAGGAGAGCCCACTGGTTAATCCTGACACCACCCAGAGCCACCTGGGAAGAGGCTGGGTCCTGGGCGGCGTCAGAGCAGCCGACAGGCAAGCAAGGAGGCGTGCATTCTCTCGGTGCTCTGACTGGAGCTCTCACATGACTAGTGTCTTGAGCTCCTGTGTTGGCTTTCCCACAATCAAAGACCATAACTTGGAACTATCAGCCCAATCATGAAACTGCAATAGAGCAGGGTGTCATCGGTGTGTGATTCAGTTGAGGCTAGTGGTGGAGAAGATGGTGGACGTGGTGAGGGGTGGTGGTGGTGGTGGCGGCGGCGGCGGCGGCGGCGGCGGTGAGGGATGACTATGGTCAGGGGAGTGAGAGGATGGTGGCGAGGGTAGTGATGGCAACGACCCTGACTGTCGTAGGGGAGAATGTGGTGGGAGGTGATGGCGGCGGCAGCCGAGTGCCTGCTGAGGAGACAGAGCCATTCTGTAACACACCTAACCGTCCCTTCAGTCCCCCAAGAGCACTGTTCCATCTCTGCTTGTCTTCCTGGCCAAGCAGTCTCAGCCCCATGCTTGCTCTGCTTACCTTGCCAGCATTAGCCTGTAAGTGCGCCCCTTTTCCACAAGATTATCTACATCTTACTGTCCTGAGTCTGATGGACTCCTCCCAGAGCGGTTACGGACCTCCGACTGCTCTTGCAGGGAAGCAGTGAGGCTGAAGGCACTGCAAACCCGACACCTCTATACCGTCCTGAGAGAACTGTACCACAACTAGACAAAGCACCCACAAACACCCCAAGTAAATTTGGGGGTGAGCTCTCCCATTTTCCCAGACCTGTCTGACTTGTTTTAACTTTTCCAATAGCAACAGCTATTCCAAGTGGGCTTCACATGAATTATTTCACTTAATCTTGAAAGCCTCATGAGCCATCATCCTCGATGGAGAAAAGCAGCCGCTCGAGGTTAACTCACTTGCCCCGTCCCTCGGGCAGCCAGCAGCTCTCCACGTACAAGCCAGGCAGTCTGGCACCACCTCGGGATTCCTAGACTCCGCTGCACTGCCTCCCCGGGACAGCCCCTGACAAGCTTTGACAAATGGTACCCCACCCTCTGTTAGTAAATGCCAGGCT